TCCCCAGACAGCAGCTCCTCACTCCACTCTCAGTCCCGTTTTGAGTCTCCAGGCCCTCAAGAAGTCCATCCAAACCGCCATCAAGCATGGCAGCAGAGAGCCGCGTGAGTTCATCCCTGGTGGTGGGGCCATGGCCTCTTTGGGCCTCCGTGACTGCCTGCAGGTTCCTCTCGAGGCTGTCCATGCGGGCACTGATCACGGCTAGCCGGCCACAACAGCTGCCACTGCCGGCCACAGTCAGGCCCTGCAGCCGGGTACCCAACTGTGACAGCTCCCGGCGCAGGGCCAGCTCCCGGCCATCCAGGCTCTGGTGCAGCCTCCGGCTGGCCGCCTGGCCTTCCTCGCACTGCTGCCGAACCTCCTGCACGCGCAGGTCACATGTACTCTGGACACCTTGCAGCTTCTGCTCGAAGCCATCCAGCAGGCTACCCCAGAGCAGATGCAGCCGTTGGTCCATGTATTCGTCTAGCAGAGCCAGGGAGGTAAGCGGAGATGGGGGGGCCTCCCGCAGACGCTGCAGGTGGGCCTCGTGGCCGAGGGCCAACCCATGCACCTTGTCCAGCAACTGCACCTTGGTCCGGAGTGTGTTGCTCACCTCTGTCACCTTGCTCAAGATCTCATCCAGGGGAGGTGTAAGTGGCCCTCCAGCTCTGTCTCCGGGGTTCACAAACCCCTCAGGGATGACCCCGAAGCCCACAGGGGCAGCAGGAGCTCTGGGGCCACCGATCATCCTATTGGGATCTTCATGGCTGGCCACCAGGCCGCTGAGAGTACCATATGCTTGTGCCAGGCGTTGGACATCACCCTCCAGGCGTTCTAGCCGCTCACCAAACAGCCCTGGGCCTTTCCTTCCTGGGGAAGAGGAGGAAAGAACCCCAGGGGTATCACTGGCCTAGCTCTCTCAGCTTATCCTATTGCCAGGCCACCTGAGAGATTTTCTGTTCTAAGCCAACCTTTCTGGGCATAGCTCCATCCGTTTTTGGAGGGAGCCTGGGAGCTCACCCTTCTGCCCAGTACGAGATACACCCTCCCCCGCCCTGCCAGAGCTCAGCCACCCTGGGTTAGTCCCCTTCCCACCTCCCCCAAGAAACCCAACCACCTTGGTAGAGTCTCCATGGGCAGACTCACCGTAGGGGCTGGGGGCCACTCTGCTAGAAGGAGGGGGCCTAGGGCCTGGGCCCAGCTGCCCGGAGGGAATCTGGGGCTCAGGCTCCAGCTGGGGTGGGGTGGCCCCATGGTCCGTGAGGTGCTCAGGGCAGCCTTCTCCAGTGAGCCCAGGGCAGCAACGCCAGGAAAGCTCCGTCACGGTCTTGTAGCCGACCTTGTATTTGGGTCTGAGCACTGTGCGGTACCTGGGCCAGGGATGGGGAGAGGACAGGGCCCTGTACCTATGGGCTGAGGTTCCTGCCTCCTGGCAGATGACCTTGCCCCTGGTTGGTATTCAGGGCCACTCTGAGACACTTGGATATAGTCTAGATGTCTTCCCGCCTCCACAATACCCCCAGGGGTTTCCTTTTTCTGTGATTAAGGTAACAGGGCCATAGGGTGGAAGCAGGCCTTGCCAAGGCCCAGAGGTGAGTAAGGGGAGGGTGCAGGGAGAAGCCTCACCCCATTCTGTTTGCCTGGGGAGAAGGCAAGGCAAGCAGGAATTTAGCCTTAGAGCTCTCAAGACCTCCTGGACCCCCCTTGAGCTTATACTGCCATCAGAAATTCCACTCTGGCTTTGGTGGTACCTTGAGGAATTCTGACAAAGCATAGCCCTTCCCCTGTGGGTGGATGAGGAGTACTGCGCTGAGGCTGGGGCAGGCAGCCCCTCTCACTGCCCCGGGGCCACTCTGGGCTCCCATGAGCTCCCCTTAGTCCTCTCCATTCCTTGCTAGCCTACTCTGGAAACTCAGCTCTGGTCACAGAGGCTGGTGGCAGGGCAACTTTGATTTTGAGCACAGAGGGGAGCCCAGGGACTACTCCCTCACCTGTTTAGCAGTGTACCTGGTTCTCTCTCCGACACATTGGCGCAAACAGGTTTGTTTTCAGACCTGCCCTTGAACCTCTCCAAATACAGACCTGCGCATCCCACCTGTGTGCAATCCCTGTCCTCACATGGCCCCATCTGTCCAGCCTGAGCTCCACAATCCAGCTTCCATACCCTCGCCCTGGCCTGCCTTCTCCACGGCCCTCCTTGAGTCTGCCCAGGGTCCCTCTGGCATCAACCATTACCAGTGTGACCCTCTGCTCTCCCCTGTACCCCACCCCTACCCCTTGTCTCTGCTCCTTTATTGCCTGGTGCTGCCTCTGCCCAGGAAACCTCCCCTGGTCTCACTGGGAGCTCCGACCTGAGCTTGCCCCTGCTCCTCCCTGGCCCCCTCCACCCAGCTGGTGTGGGGCTGTAGTAGGCTCTCTGGAGTCAAAGGAGTTACAGCCCTTGTAAAGTTGGCTGCTGCTCTCCGCTGAAGGCAGGCCTGGAGCGTGTGCCCAGGGATCCTGAGTGGGTGGGATGGGGGTGCACTCACGTGACTGTCCCGGGGCACTTGGGCCCCCATCCACACGGCCGGTACTCAGCCTTTATGTAGCTCTCTGCTCCCTCCTGTAGGACACAGGTCACATTCCTATGCACCACGTAGGCACAAAGGGCCCTGCAAGGGAGAATGGCATCTTTGGAATATCTGGCCCGGGCCAGGCCCACTGAGGCTCCTATATTCCCCTCCCCCATCTGTAGGCCTCAGCAGAAGAGACTGCCATCTTTCTTCTACCCCTTTGTTCCTGGGAACCAGGGCCCTCTGCCTGGGGTCCAGCTCCGCTGCTGGTCCCCTGGATCCCAGCCTCCCCAATGAACCAGGGGATAAGCGCCATACTGAACCAGTGGCCTGGTGCGGCTGCCCTTCCTTGATCTGACCTCTGTGAAGAAGAGGCCCACCCCAGATTCCCCATCAAGGGCCTTGCCACATTCCCCCACCCTTCTCCAACTCCTTTACTGGTTCCTCAGCTCCTCATCTGAGGCTTCCGAGGTCACAATTCAGTGCCTGAGTCTTTCAAGGGAGAAGCGTGGGACACTTCTGACTGACTCCTGGGGACACGCATCCCACTCTGTAGCTCTCTGGCCCTCTCCTCAGATCCTGGATCCTCATTCTCAGATCACTTCTACTACCGCCTCCTCCAGGAAGCCTGATCTGATGTGCCCAAGCTCACTGTCAGCTGTGGGCTGGACACACTCCTTCCACAGTACCTCTCAAATGCAGCTAGAATTCAAATTCAGCTAGCACGGCAGGCAGAGCCCCTAATTCACCTGAAGGCCAGTTTGCAAGTCACTGCTTATTAAAGACCAGAAACTGAGGTAGGGGAGGGGTAGGGGAGGGGCAGGGGAGGGACAGCTGCCCCGCTTACAGGCCACAAGGGTTGGAGAGGCATCCTGGCATAAACCGGGCACCTATAGACTGTGGTTGGGCTCTGGAGCCACAACACAAACCCAGGACCCAGAAGCCCCCACCAGCTCTGTGGCCCAGCCACGGTGAGGGTGCCAAGGGGTTGCTAGGGCAGGGCTGACAGAGGCAGAGGCGGGCCGTGGGGCGCAGGGTTCCATATCCTACCTGGCGGGGCAGGGGAGCGGTGGGAGGGCGCGGTGTGTGTGTGGTGCGGGGGGAGAGCCCCGCGTGCTCCGTGCGCGGACCGCCCTCCCACCTCTCCCTCCACCTGGTCCGCTGTGCCCGGGGTTTGCAAACAGCGCAGCTGGAAAATGTTACTTCGCTGGAAAGCTTTCCGCGGGCACTGCCAGGATCCCCGCCGCCGCGCCAGGCCCCCTCGGCTTATTTTTCTTCACCAGCCCCGCAGCCTCCTGGAGCGTGGGGCGCCCGCTGGGCAGGGGCTCGGCCCCGGGAGCCGCCCCTCCGCCCCGCG